GTGTGTGTGTGTGTGTGTGTGTGTGTGTGTGTGTGTGTGTGTGTGTGATTCTGTGAGTCTGGCGTGGACACCCCACACGCAAGCCTGTCTGAGTGTGCAGACAGGAGAGAAGCTGGTAAGCATGTGAGGGGTGGGAACATAGCATGGACAGAGGAACGGACCAGAAGCGCCCTCTACAGATGCTCTCAGGGCTGTCCTGGGCCTGGGCCCTGCTGAATCAGAGTCCTGTCTGAGCTGAGAGCACCCCCTGGGGGAGTGGGCTCCCCCTTCCCAGCATACATCACTCTCAGTGGGAACCTCACACGGGGTCTTGGCCTCCCCCCTGAACTTGTGGTTGGCTCTATCCCACAGGGGACCATCATGTCGTCCAGCTGCAGCTCAAGTCGAAGGAGACAGGCATGACCTTTGCCAGCACCAGCTTTGTCTTTTACAACTGCAGTGTCCACAATTCGTAAGTGGCCCCCAGCCCCACTCCACTCCCTGTTCCTGAGGTCAAGGTTTATCCGGAGACTGAAGGCGCCAGCCCTGTTGGCAAGGAGCTGCCATCTAGAGTCCCTGTAGGGAGAAGGGGGATGAGACAGGGCCCCCCTCTGGTACCCATAGAGTTAACGGGAAGAGGCAGGAATGAGCAGAGTAAGAACCAGCGGGGTGGGATCTCCAAATCCCTAGCCCATACATCTTCGCTGGCATCAGTCTGTCTAACCCGATTTGGTCAGTTGAGGAGGAGGGTGGCCCTCACCTGAAGGACAGAGCAGCTGGCCCCCTGGGTGAGAAGAGGGCCCTGAGGAAGGAGAGGAGCCCCCATGTGTGTCCAGGCCAAGCACTGAGGCCCAGCTCTCCCCAGTCCGCTGTGGGCGGGGTCAGGCCTCGAGCTGCGGAGGGTCAGAGTGGGGCACGTGCTGACGCGCTCCAGCTCTAGCCCCGGCCCTGTTTGATGGAAGCGTCCACTTCCCAAGGGAAGGCACGAAAGGCAGAGTCTCGGGCTCTGGAGTCAGATCAGCTGGAAACTTAACCATTCTGTGTCCCAGTGTCCCCTGTCTGTGGGGAATTGTAGTCCTCCTTCTAAGAATGTCACCCAAATATTTCACTGCTGACACAGCCCGGGCCCTTCCGGGCAGAATCTCAGTTGGCTGGGACAACCCCTCCCCCCGCCGCCTGTCGCTGCCCCTGCTCATCAACACTGCTTGGTCCACAAAACAGCTGTGAGGACTAGAAGAGTCATTACAAGCATAGCATTTAGAGCCACTGTCTGGGCACTGCTTATGTTTTTGCTGTTATTATATGATTATCTCCTCTCTAAAATGAAGGATTTGGACCAGACTGAGAAGGTACGAACCACAGAAAACTTTCTCCAACCAAAATTAGGTGTGGACACCCACTATACAAAAAAACAGATGGAAGTAGGAGCTATTCTGGTTGAGGGTTGGGAGGGCCTGGGACCCCTCTGTCTTGGAACCCCGCATATCTATCTTCTTGTCTCCAACAAAACTCCATGGAACCCCCAGGGTTCCACAGAGCATAGTTTGAAAACCATAGGACCTGATTTCATAAAGCCCTGCTTGTTTTAAAATGCTTTTCTGTTTTCCTCTCCCTATAGAACAAGCTAGTTAACATAACCAAAGACACTTCCAGGCTCTAGGCTGGAGGAATGTTAGTCTACCTCTCTGGTTATGGCAGTTGTGAGTCCAGAGCTTGGCTATCTTTGGGGATCCAAGTAAGAGGTCGTCAGGCCTCCCAGCCAAAAACATGTTGCTTCGACACCAGAATTCTCTTCCTGCTTCTTGCCACGGAGCTGCCTGTGGCTTTGCCACTTGGTGACTTCTTCCCTTGCTCCCTTTTTGCCCCTCTAGGAAAGCAGAGTAGACAGATAAAATCATGTGTGAAGTTTCCATGCAGTCCACAAAATAATTTTAAGTGTCTACTAGATACAAGGAATGTCATTAGACAAGAAGGGTCAACAATGAACAAGACTCAAAGACCCAAGCTCTGCTTCCAAAAGTCGTGGCCTTGTGGACTCGTGAGATAATTAATAAGTAAAATATGATACAGACAGGCCAGGACAGTCCCAGAGACATAAACAGAGTGGTTAACAGGATAAGGGTCCAGTGTGACCAACTCTCTGTTGGTCAAAGAAGGAAGAGGAGATGGGCAAGTGAAGGAAGGGGGAGTGGTACCCCAGGCAGAAGGACAGTGTGGGGAGAGCATGGCCTGTTCACAACTGAAACAACAAACACATGTGGAGACAGTGGGCCTGGACATGGTAAAGGGCTCAGCCCGCAGGGCAAGGCATTTGGGTTTTACCCTCTGGAAGACGGGACCCATGCTGGGTTTTAAACAGGAAGAAGCTCTGATAATGTTGCCTTTATTTCATGGGGATGGAGTGTAGAAACAGGATTGCTAACTGTGTGGGGACCCACTGCACTGGGAGAGCAGCCTAGAACCTTCCTCTTCTGGGGTGGGTCCATGTGGGTCCTTGACAGTGAGATCCTGGAGTCAACTGGAATTAAAACTCAATTTCTTTCGCGACACTAAATGCATGGGCTTTCCGGATGAACCCCTCTACTCCAGACCTCATTGTTCCCCAGCTCAACAAAAGAGGGCACCATCCTGTGGAGATGGAGGACATGTGTGGGTTAGGCCCTTGGGGACCAAGGTTTTCACCTACCTGAGTGAGGGGGAGGAGGCCACAGAATCTGGGCATCCTGAGAACTTGGAGCAGAAAGGGACAGATTTGTATCGGATCTGCTCTTCCTGAGTGTTGGAAGGTGGTTTCTCTCTTACTATTAAAAAATATTTTACTAGACCCAGGAGTCTTAGGCCCTCTGCTTTGGTTTCACCAAGGTTCTGTGATTTGTGCCTCTTTCTTCTCTGTGGGCAGGTGCCTGTCCTGCGTTGAGAGCCCATACCGATGCCACTGGTGCAAATACCGGCACGTCTGTACCCATGACCCCAAGTCTTGCTCCTTCCAGGAAGGCCGAGTGAAGCTGCCCGAGGTAGGTCCTGGCACCTAGAGCCGTGAGTGCTGCTGGCCGTGAGCATGGGCCACACGAGGCAAGCCTGCCCTTAAGAAGAGAAAGGCAAATCCCACAGCACCTGCTTCTGCCCCAACCCTGACTCTTAAGGGACCACTTCATGAAAGCAGTGAACATGCAGTGGCTCTGCCCTGGAGTAAGTGGGCTCTGGGTCAGTCCTGGAGGGTCAGCTACAGGCAAAGGTGCATTCCAGGTCACTCTAGCCATGAAGACCCTCCACATGCCAGGTGAGTTCTAGAACAATTCCAGAGAGACGGGCGTGTGTGTGTGTGTGTGATAGAAATAATTATAAGTACACAGCAACACTACGTATAGACTGGTTGGCTGTCCCTCAGAGCATTGTCCACAGAGCATATCTGAGATCAAATTGGACAAGATGAGTAACAGGGAGAGAGAAATAAGAAAGAAAGAATAGTCAACTTATCAACCGGAGTGGTGGTTCTCCAAGTGTGGTTCCCAGATCAGTGGCATCAGCATCACCTATGAACATGTTAGAAACTCAAGGTTAACCACTCCCCCCTCCAAGACCAACTGGATGAGAAACTCTGGGGGTGGGCTTGGTACTTGGTTTCTATAGCGTAGTCCCATTTGGGAATCACTAGAGTTGGCTTCATGGTTAAGAAGCTGTGTTTTTATTCTCTCCGAATCTTTATTCTTATCCTTTTTTTGGTGGTGGTGGTTGTTTTGTTTTGTTTTTTGTTTCTTGAGACAGAGAGAGGGAAAGAATGTGCGCGTGGGGGGAGGGGCAGGGGGAAGGGGGAGAGAGAGAATCTCAAGCAGACTCCACGTTGAGCACAGAGCCCAACAAGGGGCTCGATCTCACGACCCTGAGATCATGACCTGAGACAAAACCAAGGGTCAGATGCTTAACAGACAGAGCCCTCCAGGCGCCCCTATTCTTATCCTTGACTACTATTCATCAACGTAATAGAAATACTCTATACCTACGGTTGCTGCCTGTCTTAGGATGTAAGTTTGTGGGCAAGGACCTCAAAGATAATGGGTATAAAAATATTTTGGAAAAGTCTGCTGTTGTTCAGCCATTATGGTGCCTGTGTGACCCCACCCATCAGGCCAGTAGGACTGATCAGAGTGGTTGCTTTAGAACGTGGTTATTTAGACTAGAAAGGTATTTATCTATATACAATGTTGGTTAGACCCCACTGAATTCAGGGCCAGAACTCCCACCCTGGCCCACACTCTCTCTGTCAACACTGGACTCGGACAGGTTCCAACATCTTCACCCCCTTCCCCTACCTTGGGTGTACCTTCGCGCCCCTTCCATACCCACACAGGTGCCATGACCATGTGGCACACCCCACAGCTACAAAAGCCAAGAATGGTGCTGGCGCAGGAAGCACAAAAGCTGGTTGGCGGACAGGAAGGGAACGGTGAGAACAGAAAGGCCCATCACAGTGCCCTTGGCCCCTTTTCCCAGACTCCCATGGGAGCCCTAGCTTTGGCCAAACCTTTAATGGCAGGAGGGAAGCTGTCTTGTCCCTGAGGCTGAACGGGAAGGGTGATGTACTCCCCACTGCCTGCACCCGCTGCGTGGGGCTCTGCCAGCCCAGGGGGACAATGACTGAGCTCTGCTTGGCAATGAGAAAACCCGAGCTCCAAATCCCACCTGTCCAGGCTCAGATGGCCGAGCAGGATTTCTACAGGTAGAGGGTGGACAGGGCCATTGGTTTTCGAGCTAAAGGCAAGGAATGGTGAGGTGGTCATGGGGAGAGGATGATCCGACTGAGTGGGAGGACATGAGAAGCAAACAAGAGAGAAACAAAGAGAAGGAAGAAGAGGCCATGGAAGTCTCCAGACGCAAAGCCCTCTCCTTCTAGGATGAGGTCTGTCTATGGCTAGAAATGGCTGCTCTGGATCATAGTCGAGAAAAGAGACCCAGACTTAGATGGCCCCTTTAGGGGGAAAAGGAAGAAAGAGATTACATATCGGCCTTAAAAAGGAATGTGAAGCTAACATGTAGGTGTTAATCCTGTTCCTCTTTAAGACAAAACGGATCTAAAGCTAGTAGGACAGACATGGGTTTGACAGCAAGGGGCGCAAGACCCTGATAAAAGGCTGTCCAGTTTCCTCAACCCTGAGCCTTCATCCTGGGGCATGTGGTCAGGAGAGGAAGGTCTGCTTCACCCACCACCCCTCCCAGGACCAGGGGCCGAGGGCCCAGGAAGAAACCTCTTACTTTGTCCGGGAACCTGCAAGTTACTTGATGGGAGCGGAAACAGAGAGGTTTTGAGCCTCTCTCCAGCTTTCCAGACTGGTGTGTCTGGCACAGGTTTCCTGTGTGGAGAGGCCCAAGGATAAACTAGATGAAAGCAGAAACAGTTGAGCTATCTGGTGGATTTCAAAGGCCCCTAATCATTTAATTACCTTGAAGGAGGTTTTCAAATTCCTGCTTTTTCTTTCTTGTTTGCTCCTCTTGTCCCAAGTTTCTTTCTTTTAAATGCATAAAAGAAGCTTGCATCTGCCACTCAGAAGGAGTTAAAAAGAACTAGGAGAGACTAAAACAAGAGCCCACCATGTTTCCCAGTGCAGTGCAGGGATCCCTGTAGAAGGACGATGTCTTAGAGAGCCCGGGTTGCCAGCCAGGCACAACGGCCCACCTACAAAGGCTGCCGGTGAGGCACAACACCTCCCGGGGTCTGATGCTGGGGCTCCCAAGAAAGGAAGAGGCCTGGAGGAAGAGAAGTCTGGCCAATGGAAGGTGGTGATGAACTAACCTACCAGGGCCACACTCAGGCATCTTACACTTCACCCAAGCTGCGTCATGGTGAGCCTGGCAGGCCATTACAGCAAGAGGCTCCCAAGGAACTTGGAATCACCATGCTTCCCTCATTGCATCACTGGATTGAAGTCACCTTTGCTCCTCTTTTTCCTGGATGTTTATTTATTCTAAGAAAAGGAAGCTCTGGAGGTTGTGTTTCTGGTCTGTTTGGAGGCTGCCTTCTACCCAACTCAATACTGGGGCCATTTTGAGTATAGTATGGAGGAGAACCCAGAGTTGACCACTTCATGATGATCATTGTAGTGGCATTTTCCTGGGGAGTGTACCAAAGGGAAAAGAAGTAATAAATATTTGTGGACTCTCGACTGATCCAGCCATTTGGGGTCATGGAAGGAGGTCATTGTGCTCAGAGCCTAAAAAGAAACCTCTGGCTGCTAATGGAAATAAGGTGACTTTTTTTCATGTTGTTATTTTGTTTTCTATATTTTTTGTTTCTGGGAAGAGAGAGTAGCAGGAATAAGGCGTAAACAAACAAAACTAGACATTTGAAAGGTGATTTCATAGAAGACCCTGGACAGAAGAGTTCCCTCCCCCTGCCAGGGGAAGAGCTTATTCACAGCATGGTACCCAAAGCTTTGCTACGGGTCACCTTTCATCCTACATTACCCAGTTCCTGAGCGTTTCCCTTATGCAGGGCATTGCGAGAGGTTCCAAGGTGCATAAGACATCTGTAGTCTGCATTTAGAGATGAGTAAAACGGGACCGTTGGTCTACATAATCTCTAAAGTTCTTTAATTGTAAGTGGAAAGAAGCTAGAAGGCACCAAAGAGCGGTCCACGCCCAAGAAGTGGTCTCAGAGGGTGAGTGCTCAAGTCCAGGCTACGGTCTCCCTGTCCCATCTACCAGGGTGACTGCCACTCGGCCTCAGGACCTGTGGCTCCCCTGGACATCCAGGCCCAGACCAATCCCCATGGATGAAAGAGGGAGACGGGCCCAGAGATTCTTCTGGAAGTCCCCAGGCTTCCATTTCCTTTCGACATCTGAGTGTGGGGACGCGGACAGGGTCCTTTTGTCAGTCAAGAGAGAGACTGCCAGGTGGCTCTTCATTGCCCCAGTGCCATCTTGTATCCCCAGGAAGGCTTTCATCCCTGCGTCTTCCATTTCAACACTGGCTTTGTTGACTATCACCAGAGATGTTGAATTACATCTTCCCCCCTCCCCCTGAACAAAGAGTACATTCAGGTGAAGTTATTGGTCTGGAACAGAGAACTGGTCGATCAATGTTGTTACTATATTAATGGCAAGTATTCTAGCACAATTACAATTCTTAGAAATAGAATGCCCAATAAACATATGTTGTTTATAGTAACTATATTCCAGTTACAGGGAATGATTTTGTTTCAACTAATGATGACATTGCGATCACAAGGCTGGGTCTTTAGATCGGCTGCCAGATCCTGGGTACCAAAAAGAAAAGAGAGAGGAAGGGGTGAGTCTTGCTGCACTCAGCCCCGTTCTTCCAGAGTCAGGAGAGACTCCTTTCTTCCCAATGGAATGGCCTTTCCCAGGGGCAGCTGTTAACGGGGGGCCCAGGCGGGAAGGGCCTCCAGTCCCTGAGTGGCTTTGGAATCTCCGGGTTCAGGGTGACCTGACCCCCCATCCGGCCCACACACATAATAACGGTGATCCATAGGGAACAAAGGCGCTTTTCCATGGAAAAGCAAATCCGCTGACAAGAATTTAGGCTTCATAGACTATTTTACTATTATCTCTCATCTAAACTGAAAAGCAAAGTCAGCTGCTGAAGCTCTTCCCTAGGCATCAGACCAGATGGGCTTTGCTAGGAAGGCCCACGGTGCACAGGCTCAGAGAGAGCTCCTGCAGGCCCTCTCTTCTGGAAATTCAAACTGCGTTTACTCCAGAGAGCAGGTGTAAGATCAGAAGAGGCAAAATGAGTTCTGCCTGATTTCCCAAGCAGTGCTAGAAAGGTTCTTCTCACATTTCCTACCACCCTCACACCCTGGACATGCATCTGTAGACAACATGGACATGATAACATCTGCCAGCCCCCATTGTCAGTCCTCTCCTGGAATGAAGAGCTGGGGGGGGGCGGGGGCTAGCCCCTGGACTGAAGTAAGCCCTATATCCTGAGACAGGGCAGGCCAAGGGCGTTTACCCCCCCACCCCACCCCACCCCCACTGGACTCTGGAGGGAAATTGG